CACATTTTTGGGATACCAATTTGAACCTTCAGGAAAGTTAAAAGCATTAAAAGAGACTACAAGGAGATTTATTATCAGAATGTTTTTAATTGCAGCCCTAAGCAGACATGCAGGTATTAGAACAGCTATGTCCTTAATGGGCATGTCTCATGTCTCTCTCTCTCTCTCTCTCTCTCTCTCTCTCTCTCTCTCTCTCTCTCTTTTCTTTAAAAATGATATACTTTCCATATTTTTATTGATTTGAGAAGATTTGTTATAAATTACCATGGCTAGCACGTGACATTACAAACGGTCCCAGCTTCCCTAAAGTAGTGGGCCCCAGGTGGCACAGAGAAGAACAATCCCAGCCAGTTCTAATGCTCAGCTTTAAAAGTAGGAGAAAGCACGGGGAAGAGAATTCTAGGGGAATGCTGCTAATCAGATGAAAATGTATAAAGCTTGAAGCTGCTCATGTTTTAATTGAAAGCTTCAAGTCTACCGTGGTGAAATCCTTTAGGGGAAAGAACGACAAAATATCCTTATAAACTGCATGTTAGTAATATATCCTTATAAACTGCCTGTTCAGTTAGAGGCTATTTGCAAAAACATACAGCCTCTCCTGTCAACGAAGCCATGGCTCCCTTTTCTGCTTGTCTAGGCCGTGATTCTATTCCCAAATTGTACACCGAAGGACCATTCCTAGGTCCTGTCACACGTGAGGGAAAAGGGCATAGCGTCTTATCCCAGTGAATGCCTGTGTGTTATTCCTTTAAAGTCTTAATTTTTTACATGCAATTTCTTTTCTAAAAGACATAGGCTTCAAAAACTGTTTCCTGGTTTTCAAATCCATACATCTGTTGTTTACTTTAAAGTTTAATTTCTTGAAAACACATCACATGCCTTGAGCTTATTAGAAAGACGCCATCATCCACCGGATAAAAATAATCAAGAATTTTTAATACATAAAAACTGCTTTAAAAATGAGAAGCTAGTGCAGCAAACCTCCTCACCTATTCATGCCAAAGCCAGATTTTCAAAAATTCCTCTTCCTGAAAATATCAGTAACTAATTTCAATGAATTGTTTTTAAACCAATATAGAAGCAGAGACACTATCTTTTGGCTGAATTTTTTTTCAGGATTTTTCTTTTCAGGGGAGGGGTGCTATTTGTTGTTGTTGTTGTTGTTGTTTGTTTGTTTGTTTGTTTGTTTTGTATGTATATATCAGTCATGGCTGGATCTGTTTGCTGTTTGCCATTCAATTCATGATCCACACCAAATTTCTAAAACTCCCAATTACTACATAAGCTCTTTCACAATACAGATTGACATAAAACAGGGGGTACAGACCCTGAACTTAATTGTCTTACAGTGGCATCTCTTTAAGATGTTTCTTCTGCAGAGTTATACTGCATCTTCATGGCACGCGATACATGAATTCACACAGTCCGGCTGGAGTTGGCAGTGTCTCCTGGCTGTGTCTGGCTTTCTATGTGTTTAAAGTATGGTTCTGTGAAAAGACCCAGAATCAGGAGGTCTGAAATCTAGTTATTCCTCTGCCACTTACTTGGCTGTATGATCTTTGACTTGCTTCTCACCTCTCCAATATCCTTATCGTTGACCTTAAATAAGATAAAATGGAGGGGTTTAGGAAAGCTACCAGGCACTCAACAAATGCTACAAAATTTTACTATTATTAACAAACTTGATTAATTTTAACTCTAAGCTGACGTACAATGCTGGCAAACCAAGACCTTTGCATTCAGTCTTATTTTTTACTTTATCCCAAAGTAGTTAATTTTTTCTTTCTATTTGCCACCGTTTTGACAAGAGACATCAACACTCTCATCTGGGAATTATTGCCTTTTTATTTTCACCTCCTGATGCCAGAGTTGCTGTTGACAATATGTATTCAGGCAAGGCAGGGACTCGCTGCATTTCACAATCAGATGCCGTGCACACTACTTCCGTCAAAACAATTAGTGTTCATTTCGGCTTTACTCCATGAGACCTGCAGTGACTGATCAGTATAAATTATAGATGCATCTGTCCAGATGCACTTGTTCATTCATGCATAGATTTGAGGAAATTTTATTATTCTCAGTTCAAAAACAGTCTCTAAAAAAGTCCATACTTAAAAAATAGAATTTAGCACATTTTCAACTCTGGTATTATGCTCATGTACTCACTCATTCCTTCTGGGATTTGAGGCATTTGAAGTTAATTTGGGGCATTTCCAGGTTGTTATATTTCCTCCTGTAAAATCTGCTGTCTTTATAAATCATTAGAAAATCACATACATTTTTAACCCAAAATAATGAAATATGGTTTGTTTTCCTTCTTTTATTGTTTGTTGTTTTGTGGTACCTTCATGCAAGCTTATTGTGAATCATACATTCTTTACTCTGACTGCTCAGGAATTTCAGTGCATTTGAAGCAAAGCAATAAGAGCTTCAAATAAGCAATGTGGATTAGTACTCTCTCTGGTGCAGATAGGCTTTTGACTGTTTAATTTGTTTTGTATTTGTTTTAATGAGCAGCTAGAGGAACCATCAGGCATGTTGCACAGTACAACAAAAGAATCTGTATCATTTGTTTAAAATACTTTAGGTGGAATAACTCCCTTAAATATAACTAGGAGGGTCTATATTTGATGGATTTATGTACTTGCTTCAATAAAATTCTGTGTGTACACATATACAATTGGGGCTTTTTCTCCGAAACTAAATTAATCAGTGCTGAACAAAGCAATGAAAGGCTGCCAGGGTGGAGAAACCCAGGGCTGCTGAAGTGGGAGTCTGTGAACCATCAGGAGGACAAAAGCAAATTCTACTGCAGCTTCCCTCCATCAGAATTTCCAAGAAACAGACATCTTCTCACCTGAGGTTTCTGCCAGACAGAGGTTGAGATTGGCTTAAGCCACTGGCTTTGTTTTGTTACAAGAGTCCCAAAATAACAAGAGTGGGCACATTTCATAAAAAACATTTTTAGGAAACCCCATTAACAATCAAATGTCAGCAAAACAGGGGAGGTTTATGGTGGGTGCAGCCTCTCCCTGGGAAGAAAATATTAAATCAAGGTCTTGCAAGGCTGGGAAGCCAGGGGAGACATGGCAGGCCCTCCTCCCTGGGAAACGTTGTAATAGAAGCTACAAAAACCATCAAGCAACGTTGAAGACAATAGAAAAGGTGTCTTCACGTAAAACATACTCTTTTGTTTGTTCATTTTTCTTTCCAGAAGAAGAAAAATGCTGAGATATCTTCATAGTCCTACCTCCCAATTTCTTTCCCCACTGTTCCTCACCGTCTTTTCTTTCTAAAAATTGTGTTGCTTTTCTCAAATCCTAGAGAGCAAAGACAGGAAGTAGGCCTGGAGGCCCTGCACACAGCATTGATACAGCAGAGATCTTATAAATCAGCTGAAAATCAATAATTCCTATATGGTAGTTTCTCCTTTGCAACCATATCACCAAGGGACAGGGCTAATGCTTTTTCTCCACCACCAGCCCCATTTTTCTGTCATAAAATTTTTTTAAAAAAATTCTGCTTAGGAACAAATGGGCAATCAAAGTTGCTGAGTCAGTATTTCAACTATCTAATTTTATTACTTTACAATTGACATACCTTCCCTCTGGAAATGTTTGCAATTAATTAATTAGCAGTAATCTTCCCCAAGGGATGAATTTAATGAATACTCTCCAATTCTTACTGTAAAAAAAATTCCTTAGATGTATCCAAGCTGCAAATGTGTGGCTGGTTCCAAAGTGCATTTTGAAAAAATCAAGGGATCTATTACTGTGATTTTTTTATCACTAAGTCAATCTGGTGAGGACTATAATTCTTTTTCTAACTAGGAGTTTCCCGGGTTGAACGTAAGGTTTCTCCAAGGTAACAGCAGTCAGCAGCAGCAGCTGTGTTTGTTAGTATTTAAAATGGAGCTTGTCCTCATGGTAATAATCTCTTAAGAAGAGGAGTCTGGTTTGTGGCTTCTTTAAGCACCTTGAGCATTCTACAGAATGTGCTTTTTAAAACGGGGTGTGAAGAGCTAGAGATGTCATTCCAAAGAGATCACTGGTTCCCAGTGACCAGTCTTCTCTGTAAGGTACCCGTGGCAAACTCGGAGTTGAAGGATGCTATGACCAGGGCCCCAGACCTTGCCCTGCCTCATGTAAGAACCCAGAGCCATTGCTATCTTCTGGGTCACAGGTTCTCGCGTTTCAACTAGACAAAAAATCTGGGCCCTTGAACCAATCCCTCTGGCTCCTAGGAGGAGTTACAGCAGGGGCCTGGGAGACCATTTTGAAAGTATAAAGCGCCGTGACCCCGTAAGTGAAAGGCAAGGCTTTCTGAGGTTTCTGGCCTGCAAATCCCACCAGATCCCTGCAGTGCCCTCCGAAGACCTTCCCCTACCAGACCGACAGTCCCTTTTTGTCTCTAAACGTCTCAGACTGGAGGCTCTCAGAAGGGCAGCTGGGGCCTGAGTATTGAGCCTTCAGATGTGCAGTCTACAGTGCTCGCAAACTGGAGATGCCCTGTGGAGGTGGGGCAGGCCTAGAGGACGCAGCCCCTTCCTGGGCAACAATGAGCGTCCCCCCACCCCCCACCGCCCAACCATCAGTGTCCCTTTGAAGACCCCTGGGATGGAGTGAAGGAGTGGTCAGACAGCCGTGCCCAACCAGGCGTCCAAGAGGAGCGCAGGGACTGGGCTGCCCTCCAGTAGCGCTCCACTGCGGCTCTCCAGCGCCACCCCCAGCGGAGCGCAGCAGCTGCAGCCCGGCCCGGGCGCCGTCTTCGGGCTCCCTGGCTCCCCTGCGGCCACTGCGGCCGGCGTACGCGAGGCAGCCAAGCCTTGCCTTCGGAGGAGATGCCCAGGGATCTTAGCGAGTAGTCTGCGGATGCCAGATCGGAACTGGCGAGTTTCCCGACCGAATCTGAGGGATCCCGAGCCTCGGCCTCGAGGGGGCGCCACCCAGTCTACTCGAGGACCAGGCGGCTGCAGAAAAGCCCCGAGGTCAAGGTCCTGAGCAAGGCCAGGGCTTGGAGAACCGGAATCTAGCCAGAGTCCTGGGGAGGCTGAGGCGGGGAACCAGATCCCCGAGGACAAAGATGGGCGGGCCACTGGGATTCACCGACGCTGCTCGCTGCCCGGAGCTGCTCCAACGAGCGCCAGGCCTGTGGCTTGAACAAACTTTCCTGCAGCACAGGGGCGGAGAAGCCGGGCTGGAGGCTTCTCCCCCGGGCCTCTGCTCTCCTCCACCTGCCAGCGCTCAGCCTCCGCCCAGCCTTCTCCCACCCCAGCTCCCTCCCCCTCCCCCGCATACTCCGCTCACTCAGACTCCTGTCTCCTCTCTCCCCTCCTCCTTCTCCCTATTGCCTTTCTCCCCCACTTTTCTCCTGTCTCTTCTTTTGTATTCTCTCCTCCCTCGCCGCCCCGGTTGCCTCTCGCCTCCTCCGGGCCGCAGGGGAGGAGGTGAGCGCGCTGCGCCCGGGGCCTGCGCGGCGCAGAGGGAGGCGTTTCTCCTACTTCTCCCGGGTAATTTGGAGAGGTTGTGTGTGTGTGTGCGCGCGCGCGTGAGCTCCAGGCAAAAAGGGGTAGGATTCAGCGCCGAGCAGAGAGGGTCAGGGTCTTTGACGTTCCTCGCCAGCTGCACAAACCTCCCGGAGCAAGTGTGAGTGTGGGTGAGAGTGTGCGCGGGCGCACGGGCTGGCCGTTCTTGGCACGCTTGGTGGCCCGGGGCCCCGGGGCCCGGGGTCCCGTCTGGCGGCCAGGGATTACGGTGACGTCACATTGAGCCTCTGGCCACCTTGGACTGGGACACCTCCGGAGCCTCATAGCCCCGCGCCGCGCCGCGTCTCACCTCGCCACCACGCGCCTTTGGGAACCCGCATCTTCTTCCTTCCCCTGCCCATCCATGGGCCCTTCTGTCTTCCGGACTCCACGGGCCAGAGGGGTGCCTTCCAGAGCACACAGCTCCGCAGCCGGGCTGCCCTCAGCTCTGCCTCCGCTCGGGCCAACCAGGCGGAGGAGCCGGCGCTGGGCACCCGCAGCCGTGTAAGGAACTGAGACGCCGCACGGCTGGGGGCGCCGAACAGCTGGGCTGAGACGGGAACTTGAAAGGGAAGAGGGAGGCGGGCCAGGGACAGCCACCATGTCCTTCCCGCACTTTGGACACCCGTACAGCGGCGCTTCCCAGGTAAGAGGCGCCTCTATGGGGAATAGGGGACAGACTGGGTGGAGGGAATGCCTAGTGCAGGGCGCCTGCCTCTGATCTTTCTCCTCTTGTGTCCTGGAGGAAGCCAGAGGGAGCAAGGACCAGGGTAATGTGTCATAGCCTCCTCTGACATCCCCAATCCCTAAATGAGAACGTTTCACCCTGGAGTGCACACTGGAAAATCTTGTGACCCGAAACATGGGCACTCTGACCACTCGCTCAGTGAGGTGGGTGGGATCACAGGAATCTCCCAGTCAGGCCTTCTCCTATACAGAAGTCTGAGGTGACCGAGAGTGTCTTAAAGAAAAAGAAAAGACTTCTAGGCTAGAACGCTGTCCATCTCATCATATTGCTGTTCATTTGTTGACCTCGGCTCTTATCCTACCCCTTCTTTGGGCGGACCCAAGCTCTCCGGTTCCCTCCATTTTCCAAACCAAAGTGGATGTTGTGCAATGACAAGGGTTTCCTGGAAAAGTTCTGCGGACACCCTCTCCACTGGTCTCCAGTTTCTCTGTAGAGTGTATTTTCCCGGTGTCTAGAGCCGGCTCGACCTTTGACCTGCTGTGTGATCTTAGACAAGTCTCATACTCTCTCTGATGTCGACTCCCTAGCTATAAAATGGGATCAGGAATGAGACATTTATGACGGTTTCTAAGGCCACCTTCTAGTTTTGCCTTTGCAAGGTCCTGTGAGGAGGATGGGGAAGAGAGCTGAGGATTTGGTGTCTTTAATTCGGGTTTTAGAACATTCACATTCTCCGGACCCCCTGGAGCTCTGGGGCCTTCCAATGCCCTAGGCGCATCTAAAACGGCAGTTTGGTTAAAATGCCTTTTATAATTTCCGCCCCAGCACCTAACAGAATGCTCAGCCCAGGCAGCATTTAGTTAATGCGTAATGAAAGAATGAATGAAGAAGCAATCTGGCTTTTTCCTCTTTGCTTCTAGCTCCCGCCAGTGGAAGGTGGGGGGTCTCTGACCTCCAGTGCCCTCTTTCTCGTCCCTGTAGTTTCTGGTGTCTGCAAGTTCCAGCACCACATGCTGCGAATCCACCCCACGCTCAGTCTCAGATGTGGCATCTGGCTCCACCCAGGCGCCCGCTCTCTGCTGCGCACCCTACGATAGTCGGCTGCTGGGCAGTGCGCGACCGGAGCTGGGCGCCGCCTTGGGCATCTATGGAGCCCCCTACGCAGCCGCTGCAGCTGCCCAGAGCTACTCCGGCTACCTGCCCTATAGCCCGGAGCCGCCCACACTGTATGGGGCACTGGTGAGTACAGGGGTGGAGTTCCAGGGGCATGAGCAGCAGAGGCAGGTGAAGTCCGGAGAAAGTCACAAAAAGACGCACAACTCCCAAGGAAAAGAAATGGTGTATAAGGAGAAGAAAAAAAAAAAAAAAAAACAGTATCTTACAGTTTGCAGAACTTCATACTGTTTAGAAAACAATTGTACTTGTATTAATTCTGTGAGGTAGGTAAGTCATCACTAATCTCAATTTATGAATGAGGAAACAGAGGTGCACAGAGGTTCAAATACTTTACCCAAAGTCACAGAGATACAAAGGGTCAGAGAAAAGCTCCTGAAGGAGAGTAAAGCAGGAAGTGCCCCAGCTGGTGTGTGTGTTGGGGAGGGGCCAGGAGGAGGCACAGGGATACAGTAATAACAGCAACTAACATTTAACTACTGCTTATTCTGCACCAGGGACGCTGCCAAGCATTCTACCAACATAGTCTTCTTCAATAACCTATAAGTACTACTATCCCCATTTTACTAAGGAAGAAATTGAGGCACAGATTGGTTAAGTGGCCATACTGGGATTGGAACCAAACCCTTAGCGACCATTCCATGTGCTCCCTCCCCTACTGTAGTCCTGAATTCTCTTTTCTCTCCTGCCAGAATCCACAGTATGAATTTAAGGAGGCTGCAGGGAGTTTTACACCCAGCCTGGCACAACCAGGAGCCTATTATCCCTATGAGCGGACTCTGGGGCAGTACCAATATGACCGGTAAGGAGAGAAGTGACTGGTACTGAGTCTTTCCTCCCCAACTGCCAAGGTAGGGTGGATGGGGGCAGGGAAGAGGGAGGGAGCTGGACCACACTTCCAGGCCACAGACTGCCCTCTGCCTGCAGTTCCTTGTTCCCCTTCTAGAACATGAGCCAGATTCTCCCCCACAGGTATGGTGCAGTGGAATTGAGTGGTGCAGGTCGCAGAAAGAATGCCACCCGGGAGACCACCAGCACACTCAAGGCCTGGCTCAATGAGCACCGCAAGAACCCCTACCCCACTAAGGGTGAAAAGATCATGCTGGCCATCATCACCAAGATGACTCTCACCCAGGTGTCCACCTGGTTCGCCAATGCACGCCGGCGCCTCAAGAAAGAGAACAAGATGACTTGGGCACCCAAGAACAAAGGTGGGGAGGAGAGGAAGGCAGAGGGCGGAGAGGAGGACTCGCTAGGCTGCCTAAATGCTGACACCAAAGGTATTGGAAACCTTCACCCACCTTAAAGGTTTTACAAGCCATCAGGCAGTTTGGTCTTTCAAAGCTGCCCTGTGGGGTAGATTTTCTGGAAGGTCCTCAGGCTTACCCTTGCACTTTCTAGCCTGTGCACTTCCCTCTACCTGCATTTCTCTACAGAACCAGCATCTTCTAGACATCAAAGTGTTACGTCCCAAAGTCCTTCCTGCCTCACCCAAGCCAAAATATCTTTCCAGTTATTCTTTGTTCTGCCAGCCTGTTTGGATTTCCTTTGCCATACCTGTCACTGTGAGAAAGTTTACAAACCCAAATACCCTCTCTAAAATGCCAGCTCCACCAGAAGTCTTACTCACTGCCATGTGCCCTACACACCTAATACCTAAATGATGGCAGGCACATAGTTGGCCCTCAGTAAACATTTGCTGAATTAAATGATGTAACAGCAGCCACTTGTAGATGTTGAGATTGAGTAAAAACTGCTCCCTGGTTTTTCACAGTTGAGAAACTGAGATCCAGAACTCAGGCAGCGCCAAATGGTGTTTCCTTGGCTTGGCACTGTCCAGGAGAGTAAAGGGTGGGGACAGGGTAGGGCAGGAGTTCTTTCCCACGGGCAGGCGGCCAACAACACCAGGGCAAGTGCAAGGGGTGGAACCACAGGTCTGGTGAATTACACCGCGGATGCCCGCAGATGCCCTCTGTGCAGGGCGCGTCTTCCTAAAATATTCTCAGGGATGGGCATTCCTCGGATTTCCCTTGGGCCCTGGGGCTATTCTCACTCGCTCTTGATTTCCTGCAGACGTTACTGCTAGCCAGGAGGCCCGGGGGCTCCGGCTGAGTGACCTGGAAGACCTGGAGGAAGAAGAGGAGGAGGAGGAGGAAGAAGAACCTGAAGACGAGGAGGCTATGGCCACAGATGCGGACAGGCTGGCGGAGTTCCGTAAGGGCGCGCAGTCCCTGCCTGGGTTGTGCGATGCAGCTCGAGAGGGCCGACTGGAGCTCAGGGAGTGCGGCCTGGCCGCTCCTCGCTTCTCCTTCAATGAGCCTTCCGGATCAGAAGAAGCTGATTTCCTCGCTGTGGAGCCAGGTGGCCCCAGGTTGACCATGCACTACCCGTGCGTGGAGAAACCGCGCATCTGGTCTCTGGCGCACACTGCAGCAGCTGGCGCTGTAGACGGTGCACCCCCAACCCGGCCCAGACCACGAAGTCCTGAGTGCCATATGATTCCCGGACAGCCTCCTGCCTCTGCCCGGCGACTCGCGGTCCCCAGAGACTCCGCGTGCGACGAGTCTTCCTGCATAGCCAAAGCCTTTGGAAACCCCAGGTTTGCCCTGCAGGGACTACCGCTGAACTGTGCGCCGTGCCCGCGGAGGAGCGAGCCTGCAGTGCACTGCCAGTACTCGTCTGGAGCAGAAGGTAGTGGGCCCCCAACGGCGCTGGGAGTATCTGTGCAAAAGACACACACCTACCGCCCTGCCCGGCAATTGCACACCCCTTTGCCACTCCTGTCTGCCCAGGTCTCCCACAGACCTGACGGGAGACTGCTTCACAGCACTCTTTCAGAAGGAAGCTTAGAGATAAAAGTTCTAGTACTCCCTTATTTTAAAGCCAAATAATAAACTCACAGGGAGACTGTAATTATCTAGAATCACTTAGCCGTTCGAGAGATGGACAACCAAGATCTCCGCATTTGTGGTCAAGTGTACGGCCAAATTCACCAGGTGTGCATCACCATGCCCCTCTAGCACAATGGCCCTTGCCCCCTGCCTGCCCTTCAGAGGAGACCCCCTGGTCCCCTGCTGTGCTGCTTGGATAGTTTACTAGGGTTGGGCAGGCACCAGGGCTTTTGGAGAAGTCAGAGACTGCGGGCCAGACGCACACCATAGATTTACGGTTAGTGTGTAAGTCTACTTTGCAGCCCTCTCTGTGTCCCACCAAAACCCCTGGAGAGTTGTAGACATGTCCCTGTGGTCAACAACTTTAGGCCCCGGATTGGTGCTGTCCCTGGAGGGCACTCTGCCAAGGGCTCATCCCCAGGCAGGCCAGTGACTGCCAATCAGTGTCCTCTGATGCTGGCTGATTCTTTCACTGTGTTAAGGACCTGGTGGAAGGGAACTTCACCCACAAAGGGACACTCCCCAAGCATGAGGCAGCCTCCAGCAATTACTGTCAGATTCTGCTCTTTGTAGTAATTTTCTCTCAGGATTAGCTGCTGGCTTAGAAAAGTGGGTTACACTGTTATTTGAATTTACACAACGGATCCAAACATTACCCCTGACAAGCTAATTGCCTCTAGACCCTTTGCTTGTCTCCAGAAGAGACATGGCCAACCCAGAGGTTCCCTAAGAATTGCCACTAAGCGGCCTTTGGGTTTTAATCAACCTTTCCTCTCTCAGCAGGTTAGCGCAATGGCTGTGATTTGCAGAAGAATCTTGGAAATGGGCCCCTCATTTCAAATTCATCTCCAGGTTAAGAAGCTACCAGACCTTGTTAGGGACCAGGAGCTCTCACTTTGCCTAAGAGACAGACACACAAAAACCCTCCTAGCAGCTGTCCTTGCACGCAGAGCTGGGGTGGCGGGCAGACTTGGACGTTAGCGGACCCCATGGAGGAGATGGCAGGGCACCTTGAGGAAGGCCAAGTGGGAGGCTGGGCGAGTCTGCCCCACCCACCGACTCTGCCAAGTCTGTCTTCCTCCTCTGGATTCAGCACGGCTTCCTCTCCTGCTCACCCCTGTCTCTCACCCTCACCCACCTCACTTTGTAACTTCATTGCTCACCCAGCCACTAAGGACCGTGTTCGTCTTCTCCCACTCCTAATCCCTTGTGTCCTTAAAAATAATCAGTCCGAACCCATGCTGTGTGGCCTATCTTTGCCAGGGGTGCTTGGAGAGGTCGGAGTGCAGGCAAGGATGCATTGCGGCCAGGGGTTCTTGCAACAGCGCGACAGCGCGGCCTGGTCTGCAGATCTCAGTTCCCATAGCATCTGGGAAAGAAACTGGCAAGGTAATCTACAAGGCCGTGGGCCTGCAGCCCAGCGGACTAGCTGCTGCGTAACCAACCTGCGGAGCCAGGCTGACCATGTCGTGGGTCATACGCATGGGAGGTGGTGGGACCTGTCAGGATGTTTATCTGGAAACTGCATCTGTTTTCGGGTTTGTATTTGGGTTGTAAGTTTACCGCGGAGATGGGTGATGAGGATCGCTTTCCTCCGGTTAACCTGGACCTAATGGCAAGGTCGGGCAGCTTGCAGGTCAGTGTGAGGCGAGTGGGGGCATTCTTCCCGTTTTATCAAAAGTGTCAGCAAACACTTCCGGTACAGGCCAACCAATGGGAGCTGACGAGCATGGAAGGGGTCTTTGTTCCCCCTGCGACCAGCGTCAGGCAGCGGGGATTGGGGGTAAGAGATTTAAAGACTCCCGAAGGATGCCGGCTGGGGAAGGCTGTCTGCGTTCGCGTCCTGGGCCTGTGGCTTCAGCTTCAGCCTGGAAGTGAGCGCACTGCTGCTGGCAGGGAAGCAGGGACCCGGGGCACTGTCCAGTAGGCGAGCTCGGGAGAGCAGATGGGGAGGGAAGGCAAGAGGAAAGGCAGCTGGCTTGTGCGCCCAAGGCCTGGATCGCTGTGGGAGCTACGTCTCCAACGCCGGTCCCGACCAGGCCAGGCCTTCCAGACCAGCGCAGATGCGAGATCATCAGTTACCGAAATCCCGAGGAGCACAGTCCTCCTCCTGGGCAGAATTGAAGACCTTTGGAGGCCGATGAGAAGAAATGTGGAGGTTCTAATTGCTAGGGACACCGAAGCAATGCGCCACTTCCCTCTTCTCTATGGAAAAGACCCTTTGCTGTCGGAAGGGACTTTAGAGATCATGAATTACAAAAACTGCAAACCCCCTCTAATGATGAGAAGGATACGCCCAAACGGGAGGGCTGGTGAGCAGCTCAGGGTCACAGCAGTGCGTGGTGAAGACTAACTCCAGCTTTCCACCGGGGTAGATGTCCCTTTTTCAGTTCCTGCTCCCCGGCCAGAACACCCGCGTGCGCTTCCTCTGGGAGACCCCCTTTTTGCTTTCGTTTTGTTCCTGGGCAACAGCTGCTCCCACCCCCAAACTCCCCAGGGACCCTCCAGTCGCCCTCGCTGACCCGCGGCTTAGGGTCCGGAAAATTAAACTGAGAAAAGATAAACATTATTTCCAGTCGGCTTTGCGGGATTAACGCTTGTAATAAAGAGCATTAGCTGGAGGTTTCTTTCAAGGCGTACTCGACCCCACCCCCTAGTGGGGGACCAGGTAGACCCCTCCGGAGACTGCAGAGGTGGCCGAGGCTTCCTAGGCCCTCCAGTTGAGGGTAGGGCCCTAGAGAGTCATTTCATAGAGGGGAGAGGGATCCTTAGAATCAGAGAGTCAACACTTGGAGATGGGAAGCTGAAGATCAGATTGGAGAAGGGACCCCACTAAACTCAGTTCACGTGGCTGAGCAGAGTCTGGGATCCAGAGGGTGAGGGTGAGGGGGAATCTTACCTGCACACAGCCTCCAGGCATTCAGCCTTAACCAAGGGAAAGGAGGCCTTCCCCTGTGGCCTTACCTCACCACCCAGGACCCCAGGAGGTTTGCTCTCCAGCTGCAAGAAACATCTCTTGCCTGGGTGGCCTAGCCTCTCCCCGCCTTCCCCAGCCCAAAGCGGGAGCCTGCAGCCTAGGGTTATCCCGAAGGTCTGGTTCTAGTTGGCTGGAGACAGTGGGGTGTGAGAGGGGTTGCAAGGCAGCCTGGAATCCCAGAAACCTGCTTTTCCTTCTCAATTGTGTTACCACCTTATTACATGGCTTGGACAAGCCCTTCGCCTCCTAGTTCTGCCACTGTAAAATACAGGGATGGTCTAGTTCTCTATCTCGCTGCTCGATGTCTCCTCCTGAGCTGATGGTGAGCTCCAGGGGTCTAGGAGAAGGGCCTGAGAATGGCACGTCTGAGCCTGTGATTATCCCAGCCTCAAGCCCCTAGTGGCAATCTGTTCCCACCATCTCTGACCCCCCGAGAGCCTCCTGCAAATCTCCCAATATAATCTCCCAGAATCATATTTTGAATACAGTCTTGATTAAACACCAGAGCAAAGGGAGGGAGGATGCAGCCCTGCTCTCTTCGGCTGAGCCTCCTGGTGCCCACAGACAGCTGGACGGTGAGCTCTGCAAAGTAAATGTTGGTAAATGCAAAAAGTTGAGGTTCTCAGGTTTGTAGGATATATAGAAGCTGGACCTTCAAATTCCTACTATGGCTAAAGTGGCCTTTCCCTCAGCGGGGCAGCAACCAGGCGCTAGGCCCTCTGGAGGAGAGGGGAAGCCACCCAGAGGAGCACCCCACCCCCCCGCCACCAGCACACCCAGTGTCTTCCTTTATTTCTCTCCTGCCAGTGTCAGTAGATGGACATTGGATTCACTAGATGATCTCTGTGATCACTTCTAGTTTTAAGATTCTATGTTTCTGTTACTAATAATAAAAACTTCTAGAGCCCTTACCATGTGCCAGGTGTCTTAGTCCATTTGAACTGCTATTTCACAGAGCACCATAAATTGGGTGACACACAAAAAAACCAGAAAGGTGTTGCTTACATTTCTGGAGGCTGAGAAGTCCAAGGTGTCAGCAGGCTCAGCATCTGGTGAGGGTCTGCTTCCTGGTTCATAGACAGCACCTTACTGCATCCTCGTGCCATCAAAGGGGCAAGAGAACCCTCTGAAGTCCCTTTTATAAGGTCACTAATCCCATTCATGAAGGCTTCATGTTTGTGGCCTTATATCTCCCCAAGACCTCAGCTCCAGATACCATCACACTTGGGATTAGATTTCAACATATACATTTTGAGAGGACACACATATTTAGTCTCTTGTACCAGGTCCTTTAAATTTGCTAGCTCATTTATCACAACAGTCCAAAGACACATTATATTACACCTAACAGTATGCCCCATTCATGAATAAGGGAACAGGCTCAGAGAGGTTAAGTAACTCACTGTCAGTTATCCAGCTACCAAGTAAAGAGGCAGGCTCTATGCAAGACTAATTCTTTAACCACTAAGTTCCACTGTAAATGCATTCTATTATTTTAAGATTTCTTTATTTAATTATTAATAATACTATCTATTTCTGCGAATCTAAATGTCTAGAGTCTATTATTTCATGATCTGGACTCCTAGGTTTCCCTCCTTCCCTCTTTGAAATGTCCAATGGGAAAAACCTTGTGGTACCTCCTGGAACCAATCCTGCACCCTGGCCAAGAACATCTCTACCTATCCCATTGCCCACATTTCCCAGGGACACACTGTCTGAGACACCCCTGCTCAGTGTTTGGCAAAATGTAGCCCATGAATCCTACCATCAGAATCAGCTAAAGTTTAAAGAATCACACTAGGAGGTGAGCTGAGAAGTCTCTCTTGTTAACAAGCACCCCAGGTGGTCTGATGGGCCACTGATCTGCATAGTGGTGGCTGAATCTCCAGTGGCCAGATGCTAAGCTCAACAGGAGGGCTTAGGACTCCTGCTGTTAGCCAAGAGTGAATCACATTCCAGTAACAGGTGCAAGCATTTCCTCCAGGGTTTAATCTGGATTCCCATTCAATCTCCTCATCTGGTTCAGCTCTTTTTTCCCCCATCCAGAAGCTCAAAGATGTGTTCTTATTGGAGGAGGAGGAGGAGAACTAGGAGGCTAACTTGCATGTCCCAGCTGCCTGAAGATGATTTAGGAATCCAGGGTTGGAAGCACCTGTGGCCGAGAGAATTCCATCCCCAAATATGAACATGCAGTCAAGAATCTGTACACATTTGGAGGAAGCCAGGAGGAAAGAAAGACGGTATCTTAAGCAAAAGAAAGAATTAGTGAGGGCTGGGCTTCTCCACCGTGTCTATCTCCTGGCACAGCCACTTGCAGCCTTGGTATTAGAAAGTTCTTTCTTTTTTGAACCAAATTCCTTCTCCAAATAACTTTGAAAGTTGCCTCCTAAACTAAAAAGTCTGCGTCTTCTCCATGATTCATTCTTTCTCCTCCCTTCCGTGCTTCCTCTCTTCACCCTCAGTGGGAGTTGTTTTATCTTTACTCTGGGATCAGAGCAAGAAATGGAGTCTAGACTAGGCACAGTGGCTCACACTTGTAATCCCAGCACTTTGGGAGGCAGAGGCGGGCAGATCGCTTGAGCTCAGGAGTTTGAGACCAGCCTGGGCAACATAACGAAGCCCTGTATCTACAAAAAAAAAAAATACAAAAATTAGGGGTAGTGACATGCACCTGTGGTCCCAGCTACTTGGGAAGCTGAGGTAGGAGGCTTGCTTGAACCTGGGAGGTTGAAACTGCAGTGAGCCATGATCATGTCACTGTACTCCAGCCTGGGCAACATAGAGAGATCCT